TTACTAGGTGCCCGAACCACCTCAACTGGCTCCTTTCGACACGAAGGAGGAGCGGTTCAACTCCGAGTCCCTCCCGGATGACTGAACTTCTCACCTTATCCCTAAGGGAGACACCAGCCACCCTGCGGAGAAAACCCATCTCGGCCGCTTGTATCCGCAAACTCATTCTTTCGGTCATGACCCATCCTTAATGACCATAGGTGAGGGTAGGAATGAAAATGGCCCGGTAGACAGAGAGCTTTGCCTTCTGGCTCAGCTCTCTTTTCATCACAACGGTGCGGTAAAGCGACTGCAGTACCGCTCCCGCTGCTCCGATTCTCCGGCCCATCTCACGCTCCATTGTTTCCTCATGCGAGAACAAGACCCTGAGATACTTGAACTCCTTCACTTGGGGTAAGGACTCATTCCCTACTTGGAGTGGACAGTCCATCGGTTTCCTGCTGAGAACCATGGCCTCAGATTTGGAGGTGCTGATCCTCATCCCAGCCGCTTCACACTCGGTTGCGAACCGATCCAGTGAGTGCTGAAGGTCGCAGACCGATGAAGCCATTAGAAGCACATCATCTGCAAAAAGCAGTGGTGCAATCCTTAGCCCACCAAACTGCAGACCCCCTCCCCCACGACTATGCCTCAAAATCCGATCCATGTATATTACAAACGGGATTGGTGACAAAGCGCAGCCCTGGCGGAGGCCAACCCTCACCGGAAATGGGTCCGACTTACTGCCGAGGACACGGACTCAGCTCTCGCTTTGGGAGTACAGAGATTGGATGGCCCTGAGTAGAGACCCCCTCACCCCATACTCCTGCAGCACCTCCCACAGTAACTCCCTGGGAACTCGGTCATACGCCTACTCCAAGTCTACAAAACACATGTAGCCCGGATAAGCATACTCCCAGGCCCCCTCCAGGATCCTTGCGAGAGTAAAAAGCTGATCCGTCGTTCCACGACCAGGACGGAATCCTTATTGTTCCTCCTCAATCTGAGGTTCGACAATCGGCCTGACCCTCCTTTCGAGTACCTTGAGTAAACTTTCCCAAGGAGGCTGAGTAGTGTGATGCCTCTGTAATTGGCACACACCCTCTGATCCCCCTTTTTGAAAAGGGGAACCACCATCCCGGTCTGCCACTCCTTCGGTACCGTTTCCGACTTCCACGCAACGTTGATGAGACGTGTCAACCATGATAGTCCCTCAACACCCAGAGCCTTCAGCATTTCTGGGCCGATCTAATCCACCCCCGGGGCTTTGCCACTGTGGAGTTGTTTGACGACCTCAGTGACCTCCCCCCGGGAGATTGGTGTTGATCTCCTGTCATACTCCAGCTCTGCCTCTAACATAGAGGGCGGAGTTGTCGGGTTCAGGAGTTCCTCAAAGTGTTCCTTCCAACGCCCTAACACTCCATCAGTTGAGGTCAACAACGTCCCATCCTTACTGTACACAGCTTGGATGGTTCCCTGCTTCCCCCTCCTGAGGTGTCGGACAGTTTTCCAGAACAACTTTGGTGCAGCCCGAAAGTCCTTTTCCATGTCTTCTCCGAACTTCTCCCACACCCGCTGCTTTGCCTCAGCCACGGCTGAGGCTGATGACCTTCGGGCCTGTGATAACAAATCCCTGAAGGCCTCCTTCTTCAGTCGGACGGCTTCCCTGACTACCGGTGTCCACCCGAAGGTTCGAGGGTTACCGCCCCTTGAGGCACCTAAGACCTTGAGACCAGCAATAGAGGCTTTGAACACCGACCACTCTGGTTCAATGTCCCCAACCTCCACAGGAATGCCCGAAAAGCTCTGCCGGAGGTGTGAGTTGAAGGCCTCCTGAACTTGGGCCTCCTGAACTTGGGCCTACACGTTTGCGAGTTTGTGAGCCCAACCAGATCCAACTGGTAACGCTCCACCTCCCGCACAAGTTCCGGCTCCTCCCCCCCCCCCAGAGAGGTGACGTTCCACGTCCCCAAAGCCAGCTTCTGTCGCCCGGGTCTGGTCCGTCGAGACCCTCTGCTTTCACTGCCACCCTTCTGGCAGTGCACCCGACCCCATCGCCATTTCCCGTAGGTGGTGGGCCCGCGGGACGGAGAAGCGGAGGTGTTGCCCACGTTGCCTTTTCGGGCTGTGCCCGGCCGGGCTCCGTGGCAAGCCCGGCCACCAGACGCTCGCCGACGAGTCCTCCTTCTGGGCCTGGCTCCAGAAGGGGACCCCGGGCTTCCTCCGGGCCGGGTATCCTCACTTTCTGTGTCGTCTTTCATGAGGTCTTTTGAACCAATCTTAGTCTGCCGTTATAAACATAACGTTTTTAAATGAAAGAGGGAACATACACGAACAACATAACGGGGAGGTGTTCCAGGCACGTCCAACTGGGAAGAGACCAAGGGGTAGACCTAGGACCAGGTGGAGGGATTATATCTCTTCGCTGTCCTGGGAGCGTCTTGGGATCCCCCAGTCAAGGCTGGTTGATGTGGCCGGGGAAAAGAAAGTTTGGGGCTCTCTGCTGGAACTGCTACCCCCGCGACCCGACCACGGATAAGCGGGAGAAGATGGATGGATGGATGTTTATAACGTTATGTTAAAGTTATGTTTTAAGCATGAAAGCTGTCAACTGTTCAAACTGTGATCACCAGTGCAATACATTTGACAAATTTGACTTGGTTTCTATACTTATTTGAACATGTATTTATTTATTTTTCAAAATTAAACTTTTTTTTCAGCAGAAAGTATTAAAAATAATGATTACAAAAAAATACAAAAATAAATATAAAATATATTTTAAGATCATGTTTAATCATCTGATTTGTCTGTGCATTGTTGTTTTAGTCTGTGTTCTTCTAATTAGTGTCTACAGTGTGTGCCTATTGAGCTGTTTAGAGCCATGTGGGACAAAACCTGATTATGCCCTTCCCTCTCACTGTCTAAGTGAATGGTGACTGTAAACACTACACTGTGCATGCTCAGAGTATTTTCCTATTTAATGTGTGTGGCAAATAAATAATGACCATAGGGGCACTGAGCTGCCATCCCCACCATACGTCGTCTCACATAATTCAGAGCTGATTGGGTGTAAGTATGTGTGCCGTGAAAAGTGTGGTGTGTGAAGAGCAGACTAGAGACGCGTCCTAAAACCTGGAAGTAAGCTGCGCATGGCTTCCCTCGACAAAAAAGCAATGAGATTTCTCCATAGGATTTTAGAAAATAGCTCGAAATAAGATCTGTGGGAAACGTACCGTAGATAAATGCACGTTTTGTTCAGCCGGATAATATCCACATGTCTACCCTACTTTTATAATTTTCAAATCATAAATCTATCGATTTAGATTTATGATTCGACTTTTGAAACTACAAGAAGATAAGGAGGACTTTTACAAAAAAGTAATAGAGATTTTTGTCCAGATGGATAGGCAAAAGGATTTCATCTTCAAGTCAAGGTAAGACCGCAATTTTATTGAAAATGGGATCTTACTAAGAGAGAACAATCCAATATTTAAATTATAAAATTACATTTTTTGGATATCCTTTGGTATGATTTGTGCTAAACTGTCTGTTTAAAATTAATCAAAGCATCAGACAAAAAAGATTTTGAAGATAATATTATATTTTGATTTAGGTCAAAATATAATATTTGTAAACCTGAAGAGTCAGTGCCAGTGCCTCACCAGCCATGAACCTCACTGCAGGAGCTTATATATAGACATCAGGGTTTCCGTTAGCCGGTAATTACCGGTTTTTAGCTGGTAAAATGTATTAAAAACCGGTAAATTCAAAACCTGCCGGTCAAAATGTCTGGTAATAATTAGGGATGCTCCGATAGATCGGCCACCGGTCATTATCGGCCGATATTCACTGTTAATAGTTTGATCGGTGCTCTCTATAAAGCCCGATCAGGAGAGCTGGATCTGATCGATATGGACATAAACGCGAGTGAAGTATAACCAGACGCAAGAGAGAGATCAGATCAACTGCTGAGTCTGACAGAGACACGCAGCTCTGCATAATCACCTGAAGCCCTGCCTCTGTTTAGCGAGCTGCATGAGAAACTGACGGGCTGTCAGGAGAGAGAGGGAGGGAGAGAGGGAAAAGAGAGCATCCGTTTCTCCCGTGTTATTATTCAAAGTTAATGTAAACTGTTGAATAATGTACTTCATCTACTACAAGTAGTTTGTTTGAATGTAATAATTATGTTGTTTGTGCAATCATTTATTGAAAAATTAATCTGAATTTTTTCGATCTGTTACGATTATAGACTGAAGCAATATAAAAATGAGCCCCGTGAACTGAGTTTTAAACATCAGCATATCTGCTCATAGTCCGGTAATTACCTGCTAACGGAAACTCTGCTACATAACTCTTATTATTATTATTGAAATATGACCGGTAAGTTTCAAATTTATCCGGTAAAATAAATTCTGCCCGGACATTTGACCGGCGAGAAAAAGTCCTAGCGGAAACCCTGATAGACATCTAAGTTTTTGGTGCCCCACCACTTTTGTACATATAAAAACGCCACTGTGTGTGGCCTGTCTTGCCTATAATTCAAAAGGTTAAATAGTGCACTTAACACCAAAAGTAAGAAAATCTGTGTTTCGTAGATTATTTCTTTGTTGTAACAATACTTCTTGGCAATACATCTTATAACGTTGCAAAGCCTGTTTATTTACATTTCAAGTGGTGCCACATTTGTGACCAGCATGAGGAGGAGAGGCTGTTGTGGCTGTGTTTGGTTCTTCCACACGCTACTGTGGCTCCTTGTTAAATTAATACATTGTTCATAAATAAATGTTGCCAAAATATCTTGATTCATCAGACTTTAATCATCCAATCCACCAAACAACACCAAACAAGAGTCAACAGCAAAAAAAAGCTGTTTGGCATTGGCAGAGGAGATTTGTCCCATTCTTCATGGGCGCGCCCCACATACTCAGAAATAAGCTACCAAACACAGATCTCCTTACTTTTTGTGTTAAGTTTATAATAAATAAGTAGTGTTTAACATATGAATCGAATATTTTTTACAGAACACACCATGGCCACAACCCTGGAGGATGTAGGCAAACAGGTGAGTACAATTAAACTAATCTGCCCCCCCCCCCCCCCCCCCCCCGTAGTTAAAGGGTTATCTTTTCCTTATTTCACAGTTTTTCAGTGTTGAAGTGTTCTGCAACCGTGTCAGGAAGTGAATTGCTGTGATCTTTAAATGCTTCCATCGAAACTCAAATGATTTGTGCTTCTGTTCACTTCTTACACAAATGTTACATAAAGCATGGTTGGCAGAACATGTGGCTGAAGTGTAGGCACTGAGTGGTGCTGAGCCTGTGATGACCTCACTGTGCTGCTTCCTGTGCACCTCCTGTGTGACAGAGTCTTCAGGATACATTTTGAACTGTAGGGGTTAATCACAATCAGAAATCCTTTTTTTGTCCCACAAAGGGGAAATGTACTATATATATATATATATATATATATAGTATATATATATATATATATATATTAGTGCTGTCAAAATTATCGCGTTAACGGCGGTAATTAATTTTTTGAATTAATTGCGTTAAAATATTTAACGCATTTAACGCATGTGCAGAATGGCCCGCCCCATACGTGCCACCAGTGGCAGCACCAGGGTATGGCTGGGGTAGGCTACACCCATACCAAGAAATGGCTTAGCCCCACCATGAAAAATGATGTTAAAGGAAGCAAAATAAAGTCTGCCAACTCGCGCGGAGTAAATTGCACAGACGGCAGTTAGTAAGATTGATTTCAGTAGCCACGGTTTTGAAAACTTTTGTCACGTAGTGATCGTCTTCTCAATAGAACATCTTTGATAACGGCGTGGTGTTGTTGCAGGAAGTCCCGACGGAGAATACTTTTGCTGTAGTACAGGGGTGCACATAACTGGTACGCAGGTTATGTGCGTAATCTCTCTGAAATGCGTACCGTCACTTGTGTCACAAAGCACATTTGCGTACCGAAGTACTTGTGAAGCTTTTCCAGAAGGCGGTTAGATCACCGGACGACAGAGTCGGTCTCCGTGTGCACAGACAGGGCTGCTGTTAACGTCGGTCTGTTCAACGGAATTGTGCCAAAACTACGCCAACCGGCTACGGAGGGAGACCCCCCCCCCCCCCCCCCTTCACTGGAGAACTGCGCTAAAACAGCTGCTCACAACGTTCACACTCTGTGGTCACGAAGTACTCCACTAGCCGCCCCCCCCCGTCGACTTTCCTGAAGTACTCCCCCGTTGATAGAAATCAACACGTAATGAATTAAGACCCCACGGTTTGATGATTGATAGGTGTGTGGGCTGTCTTTCATTTTGACACACAGAAAAATGATATAATAAACATAGATACTGTATGTTAAATGGATATATCCGACTTCTTCCATTTATCTTTCCATTCCCACAACAATATACATAAATAAATGGCATATTTTGGACATAGTTCGAATGGTGATTAATCATGATTAATTAATTTTTAAGCTGTGATTAATCTGATAAAAAATTGTAATCGTTTGACAGCCCTAATATATATATATATATATATATATATAAAAATCCAGTCTCTGATAGTGTTACATTATTATGAGAGTGCTCTGATACTTGTTTGATTCTGAAATCTATAAATATATACATCATATGTTTCTGAAGGTGTGGCGCGGGGCCTTCCTCTTGGCGGACTTCATTCTCTCCAGCCCTGACATGTTCAGAGGAGCCACAGTCCTGGAGCTGGGAGCGGGAACAGGCCTCACCAGCATCGTCATGGCAACCATCTGCAAAACAACATTCTGCACAGGTATATTTCATCAGGCACAAATCATTTAAAAAAGCTCAACACTGAAAACTGACGTAAGAATATCTTTACTCATCTTAATCTGAGCTCTGTGAGTAGTCTGAGCTCCTCTTAGTGTTTCCTCTACTGCAGGGGTGGCCAACCAGTCAGAGGTTAAGAGCCACATTTTTTCTATGTTACTGCAAAGAGCCACATCAAACACACAGTCACTGATACCGCTTGTTTCTGTTTTTTGTTTTCTGGAGACAAGATTTCAACCACGTCACTGATGCATTTTTGTGGCATTGGGATATATATTTTTTAAATCCTCTGGAGCAGAGAGAAGAGCTGTGGATTATTGTTATTGATTATTGCATCAGTGTTTCTTAGGGTCAAAAACACTAAACTCACAACTTAAAATGAAAGCGTTTAGTTTATTTAATAAAAGAGCACATGTTCAATGTGAAAAGTGACAGTAGTTATAGATTATTTGCAATTTGGTGCTATATATATATTTAAAAAAAAATTATATATTTTTTTTAAACACCTTGAATTTCAGGGGGGGGCGCGGGGCTCCGTTGGCGGGGTGCAAGACAATGGTATGGGAAACACTGGATAGTAGTGTTTAATCAACGATAGGTTTTCCCCCCCTCAAAAGGTGATTGGTTCACTGCATCGCAGGTATTATTGTGATTGGCTCTTGGGCCACATCAAAATTAGACGCGCTGTCATCCTCTCATACTGACACCTGACACCACACATACACACGTAGGGAGAGCCCGGACGAAAGTAACACGGGACGAAAGTAACACGGAACGAAAGTAACGGAGCAATTTTATCCGAGCCCAAACAACTTTGACCGGCCAAATTACGTCAGAATGATCAGCATTCAATACTTAACAGACCTACTAAATATCAGGTTTAACTGTCGTGTTGTCACGATACCAACATTTTGGTTTCGATACCAAGTCAAGAATTGCGATTCCGATTATTTTTTGATACTTTTCTTAAAAAAAGGGAAACAGTCTTAAATGTAATTATTGTGCTTTATTTCACACCAGAACCATAACACAAACTTTTAAACAATGAGAACAATAAATAAAATAAATGACAAGAATTCGTATTAAATACAATTAATACATCTCTTACAGACAGGCCTCGTGGTGTCCGTAGGCTTGCCCTCACTGTCAGAGATATAGCTCAAATACATCAAAATGTCGCTTCTGGCGTCTTTTTTGTCAACAAGCCGAGGCGCAGCGGCAGTTGCACTCCCACTTGCAGCCATGCTTCTCGTTTTCTCACATGCTCTGGCAGCTAGCGCGTGCACGAGAGCGGGGAGGCACTTGAGCGTGCTTGAGAGGGGCGGGACTGCAGGCACGGCTGCAGTGCAGGGAGTGGAAGCAGAGCGCTGAACACACACAGCTCTTATTTAAACGGCGCTTTCTCACCGTCATTCTTAAACGGAGGAATCGTAACTTTTTTAACGGCAGGGTATCGCGGTATACCTTTCAAATATCGGTACACCTTGCACCACTAGTCAGGAGTCAGTGTCTCTCCCCCAAACTCACACATATAAAATTCAATATGAACTGAAGAGCCGCATGAAACTAGGCAAAGAGCCGCATGCGGCTCGAGAGCCGCAGGTTGGCCACCCCTGCTCTACTGCGTCTCATTCATACAGTATCTGTTAGATTACAGCTCTGTGCTGACACACTGATCCCAGCACACACTCCTCCCTCCATACTTCAGTTCATTCAGTCAAGACAAACTCTATACTTGTGTTCATGTGTACATGATCATATTTATATAAAAACATTCCACTGTAAATCATTTGTTAATCATATTACATCCCATATCAGCCTTTCTCAAACTGATTAAATCATGCCACATATCATTACTATTTTGGGACATGTTCAAATAACGAAAACAAAGGAAAGGATTGGAAGTAAAAGAGTGATGTAGGGAAGTAAAAAAAGAAAGACTTTGCTCTGTGCAGTCGACACAAGTCAGTGAGCGCAGCAGGCAGTTGGATTAATACTGTATGACCGAGCAAATATATTCTGAAGTTTACCTTTAAAACCTGTGTCTCATGTAAACATTGTACTGTTTCATGGCTGAAATACCACATGTTGTTTTACAGATGTGGGAGAGGACCTTCTCAGCATGTGCAAGAAAAATGTAACATTAAACAGACACCTGATGGAGGCTGCAGGTGAGAACTCCATCTAAACCATGGTCGCTGTCCCTGTGCACGTAGTGGCGAGAGCACTGTGGGAACCTCTGCTATAACATGCTCCCAAATAAAAGGGTACAAAAGGGCTGACTTACACAAAAGATAGTAACTTGGATAGTATTTACTTACTCAAGGTCTGTGGCCGTGACTTTTATACTTAGGCCTTCTGAACCCCCCCCCTTCCCTCTGGAAAAAAAAAAGAAGAGTTATTACGTCTCAGCGTATACTTCAGCGGAATATCAAAACGCATCTATGACAGCGACCCTCTACCACACAAAACAACACCATTTATATAAACACCTATCATGACAGCCAATTAACAATTAAAAATGAACTAAGTCGGCACGGCGGCCCACATTGAAAATGACTTAGGCCTACCTTTGATGATAAATCACTTAAACACAAAGTCCATCCTCCTGTGCTTTTGGATGAAGCACTTGCAGGTCATTCAGCTGATCCTTTGCCACTCCAGTTTATCATTGGAACTCAATCTTGAAAATGACTCTGTTAATAATTTCGCAGCGATGTCATCACTATCACTGACATGAGCCATCATGAACAAACTTATGCTAATTAGCTACTTCCCCCTAGCTTGACCCGTTGTTATAACACACATGCATAAACCTCACAGCGGGCAGAACTTGTCATAAAGTCCGCGAAAATAAAGCCCGCCCATTTAGAGGGAAGATACGATTGGTCAATTGTACTGTCATTTGACATTACTCTCTCGTTGAGTTACCCTAGCTAGCCCTCTGTGAATTTACAGCAGGACCACCAATCACCTCCTATCTTGACAGTAACTCCCGGCCAAAGGAGCTTCTTTCATTGAACCCTTCACAAACTGAACAGGCACATTCGAAGGATTTATTTCTTTGGAAATGTTATTTGAAATACAAAAAAATCAAGTTATTTTGGTAAAACTAATGAAAAATATAACTAAAACAAATTTAAAATTAAAATATTAATGTTTTCAAATATAATTTTTTAGAATATCTTAGGCCCTCAGAGAGGGCCCTGACGGCTCGCCACTGCTTAAGGTATATATTTATGCTTGTATAGGCATAATAATTAAGTCATTGTTTTATTTTATTATTTATTTTATTAATATATATATTATTTTCATCTTATGAAAGATAATTATATCCTAACACAAAAACATTATGACTTTAACTTCTCTGACAATCAGGTGGTGATGTGAGAGTGAGACAGCTGGACTGGCTTCAGCATGACCTTTGTACAGGTAACACACACACACACACACACACACACACACACACACACACACACACACACACACACACACACACACACACACACACACACACACACACACACACACACACACACATAGGCACGATAATACATTTTGTTGGACGATAAATCTTCCCGGAAATTATTGCGATAAACGTTAATATTGTCGGCACCGTTGTAAGACCATTTTAGACCACTGACATAATGATAATATATAATAATAATTCAAGTAAATCCTTTGAAACAGAATTTTGGATTGAACATTCAACATTGCAAATGAAATGTGAAATGATATTCAAATATATAAATTATATATAATAAATAAAACAAATACATTTAAGTATAACAAATTAATTAAAATCACACACAACCAAAACAATCACTCGAGCAGCAGCGTTCTGAATTAGCTGCAGCTTCCTAATAGATTTTTTAGTGAGACCTGTGAAGACACCATTGCAGTAGTCCAGTCTACTGAAGATAAAAGCATGGACAAGTTTTTCCAAATCCTGCTGTGACATTAGTCTTTTAATCCTAGATATATTCTTTAGGTGATAGTAGGCTGATTTAGTAACAGTTTTAATGTGACTGTTGAAACTCAGGTCAGAGTCCATGACTACACCTAGATTTCTGGCTTTATCTGTTGTTTTGAACATTGCAGACCCCTCTGTCCTGGGGGTTGTCAACATGGATGTTAAAATCACCAACAATGACTAGACGGTCAAAGTCAATAGCTAGTTTAAGCTATTTTAAGTTTGTTAAACACACTATCAGTCATGTTTTTTGTAACAAGCTGTGGCTGACATGGAATCACTGCTAAATTAGATAAACTCAGACAAACGTTTGAGCGCTTCCTGTATCTAAGATGATTCACCGCTCTTAATCTATTACCTATCAACACAGATATCGGCAAAGCTACTGGCAGGCAGGGCCCCGGCATGTCCTGGAAAGAGTTGAGTGCCATACGCCCTTGAGCCTGGACCCAGCACATATCAGTAAGAGTTTGTTGTGTTTTGTACACAAATATCCTTATCAGGCTTCGGAGACTGCAGATGGTTTCTTGATGAAGACGGGGGAGATGGTGCGCGTCTCTGCGGTGATTTTGGTGGGCGTCGTTGAGGAGCGGGGGTAAAGGACATGCTGCCAGCCCTGCGTATCGCCTTAGTTTGGTTATTAAACTCCAGGAAGGAATCGGTGCCAACCCTCTGTATCTCCTTCATGTGTTCAACGATCTCCAGGAGGGTGGGCGAGGGTGAAAGGGTGAACGGAGTATCCTCAAAGGCGTTGACAGGGGGGGGGGGGGGGTGACGGGCAGTGGAGACTCCTCCATGTGTCTCATATGTCTCCCATAATCAGAACATTCCTCAGGCGGGTGCAGTGATAATTCTTCAGGGTTTTCTGCGTGATGTGTTGTGTCTTTCTCGTGTTTTGATTCCTCTTGCCGCTTGTCCTTGGCAGAGGGAACAGATTGATGACGCAGGCAGTTGAATATGTTAGAGATAAACAATTTCACTCCTTACTTGTTCAGGCAAACTCCATTTGCCTTGAAAGATGTCTGCGATCCCAGAAAAAGTTAAAATTGTCAATAAAATGGACAGAATGGTCAGTACAGGCCGTTGAAAGCCAGGTGTTCAGTGCAAACAATCTGCTGAATCTCTCCACTCCTCTTCTGACTGGCGGTAGAGGGCCACTGATGAACACCTCTGCATTTAGAGAGCTGGCAGTTTCCAACAAACATTTAAAGTCTTCTTTCAGCACTTCTGACTCTTGTTTCACAACATAATTTGTTCCAATGTGTAGTACCACATTCTTCACAGTCGGATGTTCAGCCCCAATATGCAGGATCTTCTCAGCCAAGTCAGAGACCACATCCTTGGGAAAACAGAGTACTTTGGTGTTGTTCTTACTACACAGACCTTTTACATCTCTTACAGCAGAGTCACCCACAATCAGAGTTTCAGTCCCAGTCGTTAGCTTTCCCTCTAGCCTTTTACTTTTGGAGTAGCTATTGGTCCTTACCCTGCTGTGTGAGGAGGACAGGTTATCCAGGTCATCAGAAAGAGATCTCCGGTTTTCGGTCAGCGGAGCGTATCTGTTCTGGATTGGCACACTTGGTGGTTTAGGAGGATTGTTTGTAATTCTCCCTTTAGCAGCTGTCCACTGCTGTTTCCTAGTATGAATAGGGGTTGAAGAGGCGCTCTTCCTGGGTGATAACAATGCAGGCCAGCCGGTCGCATCACAGATTTCAGAGCGCTGGGCTCTGCCTGTTATCCGTCCTCCCAAATCCCATGGAAATGATTTACTCTTTGCACCCAGAGAGTTCCAGGGAGGACTACCACTTGTAGATTTATTACCCAGTACACAGCCCTCCTGTTCCTTGGAATCCTTGTAGCTGCTAACTAGCTGTGAGTTAGCATACCCTTCTCCATTATTTTGCAACACTGGTAAAGTGGTGTCATTCCCACGACATAGTCCATTCACTTCCACGTTAACTTCCAACCGTTGCATTTTCATTTCTAACACAGCCATCTTCTGTATAAGTTTGTGGAAGTCATCTGTAGAGAACGGAGGCGTTTTGCTACCAACTAGCTTAAGCTAAATAGCATGCAGTAGCCTACCAGGCTTTAGCTGTTGCTAGGCCACGCTATTGTAAGACTGACGTCGTCGTAAAAATGTTGAAATATGGCTGAAACCCTCCGTCTATTTACGAAGATGAACTGTCCCAGTGATAAGTTAAGGTCCAGGAGCCGCTGCTCGAAGTTTTCAGAGAATAAGAATAGAAAATCAGCATAAAAAGTAAGCAGAGGCAGGAGCAAGCAGAAAAGCATCTGCACTGTAAGAAAGATAAGGAACGCTGTAGGGGCTCTCCATCTCCAGCTGCCGTGTTTGCTCCCAGCTGGAACACGGAATGGGGTGGTTGTGTTTCAGGTGCAGTTTAAGGTTGGTCGTATTGCTAGCTTTTGTTGCTACCTTTTTCAAATGAATGCGACACACCGCCCGGCTCATTCAAGTCCATAGGTTCGCCTCGTTGATTTAGCTTTAATCCAGAATATTCCCACACCGGAGATGTGGTATTAGGTTTTGCAACCACTTCCATTTAACTTCAAATACCCCTCGAGTAAGTCACACGTTGTCTCCTGCTTGTCTCTATAATATTAATTTGCCTGCTACACTACTGTCCTGACCTGGCTGTGTGTGAGCCCCGCCCCTCACAGCGCGCCGGGCCAGCAGCCACAGCGCGCCTGGCTAAAATGCTGGTCACATCTTTATGTAAACAAACACGCATGTAAACGGCAATTTGTCGAGCCAGAAAAGTTATCGAGTCCATTTTCATTTATCGTACGATAAGTCAATTTATTGATTATCGCGTCAGGCCTATTCACACACACACACACACACACACACACACACACACACACACACACACACACACACACACACACACACACACACACACACACACACACACACACACACACACACATACCACACATACCACACAAAGACATTTCCTACTGGTCATTCCTGGGTGGAGAATGCACTGGTAGAGAGTGCACTGGTAAAGTGTGCACTGGTAGAGAGTGCACTGGTAAAGTGTGCACTTCTAGAGAGTGCACTGGTAAAGTGTGCACTTGTAGAGAGTGCACTGGTAAAGTGTGCACTTGAAGAGAGTGCACTGGTAAAGTGTGCACTTGTAGAGAGTGCACTTGTAGACTGTGCACTAGTAGAGTGTGCACTGGTAGAGAGTGCACTGGTAAAGTTACAGCCCTGTTAGAGAAACGCAGATTGCGGGTGCTTAGCTTTAAAAAAAAAAAAAGAGGAGGCGGAGCTAATGCCTGATCATAATTCTACCGGAGATAAAGTTAAATTCTGCTGTGATAAAACGCCATCCTGTTTAAATCACATCAAAGATTATTTCTGAAACAGTATGGAGCTCAAATGCTTTTTCTCTAGCGGGTTTATCACAAGGTGAGTTCCTTTTTTTATTTCCTGCGTTTTAAACACGTGCTCTACAGTACAGGTTAGTTCTGAGTGTTAGCAAGGCTTGCTAATGTCAACAAAGACGAGATTACGTCCAAAACATGTCAGGCATTGTTTCTGATAGCAACTTTCTGTGGGTCCGCCGCCGATTTGACATCAGATCGGCAGCAAATCTGTATCCGCTCGTTGTACCCCTTTTTTTTTGGGTACGGAGGAAAAGAGAGAGGGTTTTATTTTCTGACGCTGCGTGAGTTCCCCGACGCACCGGGGACACATATTTATGTATAAAAGACATCACAAAGTGAATTTTGCATGATAGGTCCCCTTTAATGTATATTTTCTTGTGTCTGACGCGTTGTGAAAATGAACGTGCATATATATTTACTTGTGTGCACGAGCGTGACATGCATTGCAGTTAACCACAAGTTTACCATGACTTTCTAATGCCATTTTTGCCGAGGTTCAAGGCATTGGCTACAGACAAACAGTGCCATTTCTCCCACTAGTTCAAGCCATCATACTGTATGTATGTATTGAATGTGTGTGTGTATAAAAGGGCGCCGTTTACCGACAGGCAAGTGCTTGGACCAGAAGGGGGCCCCCAAATAAGGTAGATTAATCCAATCCAATCCAACTTTATTTATATAGCACTTTAAAACCTCCAGACCAAAGTGCTGTACAGAGAGATACTTAAAATATAAAATCACACAGCTCGGCTCACAAAACATAAAATAAATACATTTAAAATAAAAGATACAAACACAAAACAAACCAGAATAAACGTAACAATTTCAAAATAAAATTAAAAAAACATAAGAAAAGATTAAGAAGGTCCACAGCAACGACAACATGTAACACCCTTTAATTTACTGCAACGACATGTCTGGAAACCCCCTCAAGGGGGCCCCATGCTTAGCGCGCTGAAACTGCTTTTTAATTTCAGTTGCGTTGCTCCGCTCCGGGGGAGGGGGAGGGACGGGACTTTACTGGCATTGATCCGTACCAGTGACC